TAAGAAGACTTCTCTATAGATTAGATACCATTAGGGTCAAGCCATACGAAAATGTTTCCTACCTGCAGCCAGATTGAGGTCCATGTTGTCTGATGAGTAGTAGAGGGTATATGCTGGTTGCAGGAGCTGCGATGCGGATTGAAGTGTTTTCCTAGCTCTGGCTTAGTGGTGTGATGAGGGAGGGCAGCTACCAGGGAGACTATGTGCTAGGTGTGTCTGGTCTCTGAACCTTTATGTTTGACAGCTGGAGGGAGGTGTGATGTGCAGAATACACTCCTGGAGGCTGAGCCACATCCACCCTGGCAAAAAATATCCAGTTACAAGAACCAGTATTGTGCAGAGAGGTCCAAGCCAGTCAAATTTTTCTCGCTTGATGGGAAGCGATATGATCTAGCACACATTCTTATTCAGACATCACAAGATGAAATGTGACAACTCTTGAAAAACAGTATGGCATGTTCAGGCTAAGGCTGCCCGCACACAAACCAATGTTCACCAGATGCGTGACTAATCAAGCATCACATGAAAGAGTTAATGTGCACACGGCGATAACCTCCTAGGAGCATCACAAGCATGTTGTAGCATCTGCGCATTCCTTAAATGATCACTAGAGAACCAATCATGACTCAGATTATACAAGAATATAAATGTTCAACCTAAACTAGAATAATTGTGCAATCTTACTTACGAAAGATTTATATTTTCCACCTTATTTCGCTTTATTTGCCCTTTCTGAGCCTGACACTTCAGCTTTATAATAAGCCAGAGGTCATCAGCCGGAAAACAGGAACTCCTTCTCCTCCTCCATTTTTCATTCAACTTTTGTCGAAGGAGCTGGACCAAACATTCTCGGCCAAGCAGTGACTATAGCCAAGAAGCTGCAGTCACAGTTCAGGTATTCTGACAGCAGCCCTGCTGTCAGAATACAACAGTGATGCGCAGTGCGTTTGGTGCTGGGTGAGGCATTCTCCCTGCCTGCCCCAGTCCACCTCGTCTCACCCCCAGCCTGCTGACGCCCCGGCCCCCAACCCGGTCACCAAGCTATGTGTGGAGAAGGGAGGAGACAGGGTGGAGCCTCCCTGTCCCTCACTTGCTTGCTACTGGTGAGGCATCGAGATCGATGTGTTTTTTTTTCTTTTTTCTATTGGACGGCTTGAACCAATGGCACTTTGCCATTGGTCCAAACCAACCACAGAGCTCAAATCTCTAACACAAAGTAGAGGCTGTTGCAGCTCTTGCCTCAGTAAGTTAGGTTAAACAAGCAGTGGGGAAACCCGCTGTGTGTAACCTAACTTAGCTGTCAAAAGACGGATGCAGTGCAGCCTGTAATTAACAGGTAGCGCTCCGTCCATGACAGGTTACACTGCGGAGAAGCTTTCCCTGCTGTGTAACCTGTTAGAAGCCACTCTGAATTGAGAAAAAACTGTCAGTTCAGACTTGAAGCTGACAGCTTTTTCCTTGATAATACTAGGTGAGGCTCTGCCCCACCTGCCTCCCCCTGACCGCACGTCCCTGGAATACAATAGCCCGGCAGGGGAGATTCCCCCATTCATGTAGGCTGAATGAGAAAAGAAAAGTTAGGTGTAGTAAGGATTCAGGTGACCACTGACAGTCCAGGTAAAGTGTCAGCACTGGACAAAATAGGTACAAATAATAAATCTGTCATAAGTAAGCCATAATTAAAGAGTAAACATTTAGATTATTGCATAAGCCCAGTTGTGACTGACCTCTTATGTTCCCCATAGACATGTGATAGTAGTCTCCTGATACAGATGTTTCAGCCAAATTGCTCTTCTGTTTATGGTACCAGGCCTCTCACTTTACTAGATGGCTGCTCTCTGGAGCAAAATACAATTGAATGGGTAAAACCTGCCATCGTTCCCTCATGAGATACATAGTCTCTATTTATACCTGAAACAATCATAAAATGATTTCAAGCTGTGAATCTGAAGATTATCTGGATTCTTGTTAAATCTCCTAAAATTTACTTACAACCAAAAGCTTTGTCCTGGAGCACCCTGAGGTTATACCTCCCAACAGTCCCTCATTTGGAGGGGCTGTCCCTCATAGAGAAGATATGTTGTCCGCACACCATTCTGCTTCAGAATATCATCTTTATTCAGGTGTATTTTCGGCACCCGTTGGATTCTGGGATACATCGGTACGGTATGCGAAGGGGATATTACTTAGTCACTTGGAACCATATCCCTCTGTCACTCTTTCCCCCTCGGATGTTCCTGTCGTTGGTCCAATGTACAGAAATCTATGAAAAGGTTCTACTTTACTACCAAATGTATAATTCTGCACTTAATACTTCAACCTATCTTGTATAATATAAAGAAAGAGTAATGGTGGAAAAAACTATTCTGGGTTTAACCAAATATTTTTAGCATATAGATTCCTAATGATGGTCTGCATAACTGAGAACATGGCATGGGTGAGTCTATTGCGTGAATTCATTGTGCTGGAAGGTGTCCTTCTTTATCATCTGAGAGGGTTGGGAGGTATGCAGAGAGAATAATTTCAACTTCACTTTGGAAGCTGATAGCTGGGTCTGCCCCCCTCCCTGCCAGTGGCCAATTATTATAGTTAGGGATGCACCAATACCGTTTTTTCTGTATCGAGTACCAATATTTTGTTCCGGTACTCGCCGTTTTAAGGAAGCCAGGCGGCATGTAATGACTCGCCATCTGGCTTCCTGAATAGCCGGGAAGCCGTGCAGCCGGGCGGCGTGTAAAGACTCACCACCTGGCTTCCCGATTAGCAGGGAAGCAGTCTCCAGGCTCCCTCATCACCAGGTGACGAGAAAGCATGGAGCTGGCTTTCTTACCAATCAGGCCGGGTGCCGTGTAATGACGCGTTGCTTGGCTTCCTGATTGGTTGAGAAGCTGGCCAATTAGGAAGCCGGGCATGCTTTATTATTACACGGCGCCCGGCTTTTGATTGGCCGGGGAGCTGGCTCCATGCTCCCTCTTCAACAAATGACAAGGGAGCATGGAGCCGGCTGCACGGCCAATCAGGAAGCCGGGCAGAGAGTAATGACATGCTGCCTGGCTACCTGATACCGAAAGCTTAAGTATCGGGCTAGGCATCGGAGCATTTGGGCCAGTACAAGTACTTGCCCAAATACTTGGTATCTGTACATCCCTAATTATAATGGTAATGGCCAGCTATACTGATTAAAAAAGAAGCACGAGAGGCAGAGCTAAGCTGAGTTTTGAGACCACCTCAGGTTCTAGAACTTGCATTCACATCTGGCCCCACTCCAGTTTTTATGGCCAGCTGTAAAGTGTATTTCCACTTTTGCAGACAAGTGTGAGAACCGCCACTATATGTTTGTTATGTGTTCTCATTCCCACAGCACCTAAAATAGTTCAAGAAAAATATGTCTAACCTTCTTACCTTTTATATGTGTCTGCGTAGGTGGCCTTTGGACAGACTGCTGGCTTCTCTCTACAATTTTAAAATGACAGGAAACTGTGTCTGCCCCTATAGAAAGAATAGGGACACTCTGAGCTTCCTCTTATTAACATAGAAAACTTCTAGATCTAAGTGTTATCTCAGTTTGATTGGAAATGTGGAAATACCCTTTAAGAATTACAAAGAGACAGTGACAATCCTACAGGAGTAACGTCCACACTCCTTCTTAGTTTAGCCCCTTCTACTGTATGATGTGATTCATTTTGGTGCCCTTTGGCTGGCCATACAGATGGCAATTTTAGTCAATTTCAACCATTTTTGAGCCACAGGAATCTTAAATACAATTGCAAGCTATTGCCAGAATCTCAGCCATCTCTGACCGAGGAGCTTGAACCACCAGAATTCAGTTGATTGTAAAGTCATAACTGGGCATTAAATTGATAGTTTCAAAGCATTTTATTGAAAGGTCAACTTGAATTTGAATGGAAACGGGAAAACTTTACGGCAATTTTGTCAAAAGCAATTTAGATTTTTCCATCTCGTTAGATCAGGGCAATATTGATCCCATCAATTTTAGTTAATCACATTGCCACTCGTACAGCCTGCTTTAGGCTGGCCATACACTGTTAGAATTTGCTTAAGAAGTTTGTTTGAAATTATTCGCAGGACATTCATTCTTGCCATCATTGAGTCAACTCATTTTGTTTGAAAGCCCTTAAAAATGTTCATCCACACCGGCTACTTGAATGGGATCCCACAAACTATTAAAGGAGAACTATGGGGTAAGTGTTTTCCCCTGTAGTTCTCCTCAGGGTCACGGGAGGACATAAACTAGCGTCCTCCCGTGACTCAAAGCTCAGCTGTAGCTGGCGGTATACTGAGACCGGTGCAGCCGGGACGGATCCTGACATTACTGTCCAGATCCACCCAGCTGCGTGATTGACAGCTGGCTCTGCCTATCTAGAGGCAGAGCCAGCTGTACCCGTCCCCTCCCCATTCGTTCCTCCATTCAGCGCTGGAGGATCGGAGTGGGGAGATCCCTGCAGGGAGCCGTGAGTGACAGTCACGGCTCTCTGCAGGGAGATGATCGAGAAGTGAGCGAGCGCCGGTATGTGTTCTCTCACTTCCCGATCTATTGAGCCGATGTGTGACAGTTTCATTGTCACAGGTCGGCTCGAACTATGAGGTTGAGTGAAAATCACTCACCTCATAGTTCTCCTTTCAACAGGTTTCTTTTGTACCTGCACAATAAGTAAAATTTTTCCCGAACAGAAATCACATTCATGGTTTGCATTCCGTTCCTTCAGATAAGAAACCAGAAGAAATGTCCATCCAGGCCGGATACACACATTGATTAGACCCCACTAACCGTTACAAAATCGAATGAATGTTTCAAAAACGAACATTTTGGAACAAAATTCTACTAATGTTTGGCCAGTTTTAGACCTTAAACGTAGTGCAGTATGTGCACAATTGTGTAAGGGTTTGTGTGGTGTGTTTGTGTGGTGTACAGGTTTTGCTGGTATCTAATCTCAGGCACACCCCATCACATAAAATATTTAGTGCTATTGTTGGTGAGCAAACAGTGACTCATGTCCTCCTTTCAATAAACTGTCAGTCACCCAACAATGAACCCTCCCCTTGTCTTCTACACACAGCAAATATAATTCCACTACTGGCAACATCTGATGCTAAAAAACATCAATATACACATTTTTTAGAACATGTAAAGGAGAGCAGGCTGCCCCAAGTACAGTACACAATGACTGCCTAAGCCTTCTCGTGAAGGTTGGGGCTGCGGCTTATTGACCATGTTGGATTTTCTTTGCTAATGGCTTTTGCTACCTTATCCCACCGGGTGAACGTCCCCTCCTCTCTCTGCCGGCGTCCATCACCAAGATGGCCGCGCATGCGCAATGACATCACAGAGGGGTGTCACCCAGTATCCACTCCGGGTGACACCTGGCCTCGGGACGCCCCTGACTGCAGCAATAGTTACAATTCTTCCTTGCTTCTTCCAATCTGTCCAACTTTCCCCAACGGAACTGGTTGGTGACCCTGCCTGCAGCTTTCACCACACAGTGTGCTGATAACACGCACCGAGCACAGGCCCCGATGGTGCTCTGAGGATTGGGCATAGAATAAGGATGGAGCGCACAGAGCAGGGAAGGGTCATTGCTGATATAGTATGTATTAAGGGAAATTAACAATGGGGCTTTAAATGTTCAAATTTTAGAGTGTATGTGGGGTTAAGAATGAATCGTGGACTAATGGGAGGTATTGGAGTAAGGAAGTTGGGATGAGTACCACCAATAAAAGTATAAAATAATTGCATAGAGGGCTGGGATGGAGGAAGAGGATGACCGTAAGTCATTTTTGGGTGAAAGTCTGCTTTAACTGCAACAGATTACATTTCTGGAGTTCATTTATAAAACATTCCGCCCGGCTGTGCCATTCGCACGGCATTGATGCCCCTAGACCAAGTGTGGGCAAACTCTGGCCCTCCAGCTGGGGAGAAACAACATAATCCCATCATGCATCTGTCTTTGGGATTCATGCCGGTTAGGCACTTCAAATGCCTGATGGGATTTGTAATTGTACAACAGCTGGAAAGCCCGGAGTTTGCCTACCCCTGCCGTAAATGGCGCTGACGAGTACAGACATTTCCTACATTAGGAGCGCTAGTGAGTTTTATTAAGGAAACCCTGTGCCCCCTGCCCAGCCAGGGCTGTGTAAATCTCAAGACTGGATGGACAGAAATATAAATCCTATGGCAGGTAACACAGCTCCCACATGTGTATTGAATTTGTTTATTTATTATTTTTCCTGTTTGGTTCCCTGACTGTGAGCTACCATTTTAATATTCCATCCACCTGCTACAGAAATTCTCTTTGTGCCTCTGGTGAATACACTACAATCAGTGATATAACTGCACATAATGGCAGAGAGCCGCTCAGTCTTCCCGTCACCACGACAACGGCAGAGACAGATGCCCGGCCAGCACGTGACCAGAGCCCGCAGCCTTCACACCTCCACATTGTGGCTGGCACTGGAGGTCACGTGAAGCGGAGGTTCCCTGAGTCGCTCCCGGTGACGTCACGAAAAAGACGAGTAAACACTCACACAGCTGTGGAGGGGGCGGGGTGGAACGAGGAAGTGTTTGTTTCAGCGCAGCAGTGGGGGTCAGCTGGGGATTCTGAGCAGTGTCCCCTCTGAGGTCCACTGGGGACCCCTGCAGCCTGGTGAGCGGCCGTGTCATGTCATATGTCAGTGTGTTGTCCTGTATGTCCCTGTTTATGTGTGTGTATGGTGTTATTGTGGGGGAGGTGCATTGGGCTGTGCGCACTGCTCTCAATTGTCCCCCTTCTGGGTGCACAGCCCTCCTGTTCTACTTCCTGACAAATGGTAAGTCTGTGGTCACTACTGATATGTAAAGTACATCTGATGGGGAAGGGTTTTTTTTGGATAGGGTGGTGTGGGGGTTACAATGTGGGGTGCTGGATTGCTTATCTCAGTAGGGGTTCCAGTGAGATATTGGGTGTAATATAGGGAGGGAATTCCCTTCAGGTCGGTTTCTGGATGGTAATGGCCACAGGGTTGGCTCGAGCGTTCAGTCAACTCCAGAAAAATGAGGTTGTGCCGAGGAAATAGATATCCAACGGTGAAAAACTAAGCCAAATTGTCCATAAGCAATGCTTTAAAACACCGTCCAGGTCATCAATTTAGAATTAACTGTGAATAATTGCTCCCACTTTGGTGTATGCGGTGATACCCAACTTGTGGCACAATTGTCATTTTTGTACACAGGCGCACCAGACACATGTTTATGCGGTGATGGGGGACTTCTGTGTGTTTTTTTTTAAATTTATTTGGTTTAACTTTATCTTTTTAAAACAAATCCCCTGTGTGTTAGCACTTTGCTGACAGGTGCTCTTTAAGGAGTCATTAGGGGTCCCAAATGTCACCTTTGCAGCCCATTGAAGCTTATCAGGCATAGATCCTGCTTGGTCAGCTTCTTCCCTGGCCCCTCTAGCTGGGGAATGACGGCTCAGAAACTGGAAGAGATTAAATCAACATAGCTTCCAGCTTCAATAAGCGGGGAGGAGATCAGCATGCAGGCATTTGCTGGCCTCTCTACCCACAGACACCCACAATGCAGGTTGAGGGGCAGCTGAGGCCAGGAAGCCAACCAGGGCGTGTCAGGCAGGAAGGGGGCACATGGAAGCAATCAGCGGCTTTACAGCCGCACCAAATCACTTCCGGTGTACAGCTGACAGTCGGCTTTACACAGGCAAACAGACTCCCGGTGGCTCTAGCTGCTGGTTGGGGCTCGGTGTCAGCAAAGGGTCAAAAATGCTTCTAAAGTAGGCTTTGCACACATCAAATTTCAGCCGATTTTTTTTTTTTTTTTAATGAACCGGCCGAAATTCGTAGCATGGGGGCCGGTGTTGGAATACAAAGGAAACAGTGGGGGATTAATTCAATGCTTGTAAGCGTTGATGGAGGAATCTGTTCTGATTTTTCATTCCAGCCCGCGGGTTGAAGGAAAAAATAGAACCGTGTATTTGCACTTATGTGTTCCCATTCAAACAGCATACCGAAAAATAATAAAGCAGTTTGCGCAGCACTTTACAATATAAGGGAAGACATTACAATCACAAATCAAGACAAGAGGGTAAGGAGGGCCCTGCCCCTGAGGGCTTACAATCTAAAAGGGAGGGGCAAGTGATACATGAGGAGGTAGCTGCGTGGATGAATTGTTTGAGAATGTGATGATAATGAGATAATAATGAGACTTTCCAGCCCAGTATAGATGTGATAAATAGAACTTCCCATAGCCCCTTCCTTAAAGGAGAACTATGAGGTCAGTGTTTTCCCCCATAGTTCTCCTAAGGGTAACGGGAGGACACAAACTAGCGTCCTAGACACAAACGAGCATAAACATATAGATAAGAAGAGAGAGTAATGTGTAAATATTCGAAGAAAAACAATGCAATTCTTTATTCGTATTGTACCTATGATTGGTAAGTTTGATGTCATTGTTCTGCAGTATGTGCACAGGTGTGGTGGGAGTTTGTCTGGGCTCAGGTCTAGGAGAGGTGACCATTGTTCTAAACCATTTTAGCAGGCCTATGGGGCCATCCTAGGAAGGCCTGTATGCTCCTGCTCTTTTCATTGTTATTTGCTGACTCATGGTGTCATGTTCTATAGAGAATGTATTTCATGGTATGGGAAATGTGCTGGGACTCCATTAAATCAGGAGTAGGCAGCCTCGGCACTTGTGCTGTGGTGAAACTACAAATCCCGTCATGCCTGTGGGTTGTCAGTCTTGCAATGCCTCTTGGGACTTGTAGTTTTATCACAGCTGGAGGTTGGCCACCTGCATTAGATTCTTGCAGTGTAAGTGTATGTGTTTTTTTTTTTTAAACGTTTTGTATAGTTGCCTGCTGAGTATTTTATTCCAGGTATTAAATAGGTACAGCGCAGACAATTTACACAGCACTTTATATACAGCACATTCACAGTGCAACAGAGTCCTCCTCCATCTACGCTAAACTGTGTGGATGGAGGAATCTCCTGCTGGGCCAAGCTTCAGTATCTTGCTAGTCGGCCGCACTGGCTCTAAAAATACCTGAACAATCTAATTGGATGCAGGCATCTTACACACACACACACACACTTACACACACACTTACACACACACGCGCTTACACACGCGCTTACACACACACTTACACACGCGCGCGCTTACACACGCGCGCGCTTACACACGCGCGCGCTTACACACGCGCGCGCTTACACACGCGCGCGCATACACACGCACACGCACA